TTTCGTAAAAAGGGGAAACATTTATATATGAATATATCGAGAGTAAAGTCTATGCTTATTTCCATTTTTTAAAACGTTTCATTGCGTGGTGGCAAAATTGATATAAAATGGTAAAATGTAAGAAGATTTTCGTATTCCCAGTAGATACAAAAAGTGGCCCCCCGAAGAAAAAATAATTTTTACTGGAAAAATGTTGGTACGTTTTACTGCACACTACTTAGTTGAATACGGCTTTAAGTACTCCGGGGACCTGATGGTTCGACCTGATCATGTTTCTTGTTGCTCTTGGGGTTGTTGCGTCTGTGCTTTACCAGGCGCATCGTCAAGAACTTCGATAGTTGGGCTATCCGCGGGTCGGTTATAGCGAGCTGAAACGTCACTTATGATCGGATTGCCTTCGGAACAAGCTGGTTTCAGACGGTCGATACTAGCAGTATCTCCAGATATGTTTCGCTAGATTGCATAGAATTTCTCATGTCACTTGATCACCTTGAATGGACCATCGTAAGGTGGTTTAAGTGGTCGACGAACGGCTTCGCGGAGGATGAACACATGTGATGTCCTTTGTAAAATGGGTTGAACGAAGATATCAGTCGTTTGAGGCCAAACTGGAGAACGCCTAACTGAACGCGTTATGTTTGTAGGCGTAGTTACGTGAGGCGTCCCGTCGGAAACATGTTTAAAAGTTGAAGGGGAAACAAATTCATCTGTTAAGCGAAGAGTAGTCCCATAGACGGGTTCTTCAGAGGTGCATCCAGTATCAGCTTCCAACACGTTGCGAAGACCCAGTAGGATTAGAGGCCAAGCCTTGGTCCACTGAGATTTGGTTGCAGCTGAGACGGAAGCCTTCAGCTGTCGACAGAAACGTTCTATCATTCCATTTGCTCGTGGATGGTGGGCTGTAGTCCGGAACCGAGTGCAACCCAAAAGTGCAGTTAGAGCGTGAATTAATCCACACTCGAATTGGCGCCCGCGGCCAGTTGTTACGTAAGATGGACATCCAAAGTTCGCGATCCATCTTTCGAAGAAAACACGAGCGGCAGTTTCAGTAGTAATATCCTTAGTGGGCAGTGCTTCTGGCCATCGCGTAACATGCTCCACGCAAGTTAAAAGGTAGGCACATACATTAGATTCTGGTTGAGATCCTACAATGTCTATATAGACTTGGCTGAAACGCATGTCTGGGGCTATAAAAGAGCCTAAAGGGCTTTTCGTATGTCTTGCGACTTTGGACTTCTGACAAGCCAAACACGGCCGATCCCACTCTCCAACGTCTGTGTTCATTCTCGGCCAGCAGAAACATCTTGCAACAAGCTTGAAGGTGGCTGGCACACCTGGATAGGACAGTTTCTGCAACGTATTGAAGACGTTGCGTCAACATCTCTTCGGGACTTTTGGGCATGGTTGCTGGCAGAGGCATAGCATAAGATTGTACCCTTGCCTAATCCTACTGGACAAGGTTGTAGCTTAAGAGTTGTGAACGACAACTCATGATGCAGCTCGATGTCTTCTTTTTGTCACCAAGCTAGTTCAACGAGATCAACGCCCTCTATATAGTTTGTCGGAGCTATTCGAGATCGTGCATCGGCCACGGAGTTATTCGCTCCAGAATTGTGGTGGATATCTGACGTGAACTGGTAAATGTAATCAAGTTGCCACGACTCAAGACAGAAGGTTAACGGTTTGTGGTCTGTGAAAATAATGGGGTCACGACTTTCAACTGAATGTCGAAAACGGAGCACAGAACAGCACATAGTAGGAGTTCCCTGTCAGTTGTACTGTTTCTTGTTTTCGCGTCTTGCAGCCGCCTCGAGAAAAAGGCTAATGGTTGCCACTGTCTGCCAATCAACTGTTGCAAAACTGCCCCGATTGCTGAGTCAGGTGCATCTACGGCAATACTCAAGGGAGCACTGGGGTCGTGATGCATAAGCATGGTTGCGTTCTAAATGGCTTCCTTGACCTTGGAGAAAACAAGTTTAGCCACGTTGTCCAGAATCACTCACTTCGTAGTCCCTCGAAGTAGACCTGCGAGTCGCCTCGTAACAGGCACGGTTGGGAATAAACCTTCGGTAACAACTTACCAGGCCACTGAAAGTACGGACCTGCTTCGCAGTGGTCGGCTCTGGACAGTTCATGACGGCCGCCACTTTATCTCTCAATGGGCATATACCTTTGTTGTCAATGGTATGCCCAAGGAAGCTGAGTGATCAGATTCCTATTTCACATTTCTGCACGCTGACTACGATGCCACGTTTTCTCAGTCTACCCAACACGAGGTCAAAAGGTTTGAGGTGAGTTTCCCTATTTGGACTGGTAGTTAGGTAGTTAACGATACAGACGTGGACAAATTCTAAACCACGGAAGAATTCATCCACAGAGCGTTGTAATGTTTGTGCTGCGTTCCGAAGACCGAATGGCATGCGCAGGAATTCAAACAAACCATAAGGAGTAATAGTAGCTGTTTCGTGATAACTTCTGCTGCCATAGGTATCTGATTATATGCTTTGACCAATCGATTTTGGAGAGTATGTCCACTCCGCATAACGTCACAGTTAAGCCGTAAGCATGAGGTATCAGGTGGCAGTCTGGTGTTGTTTTGGCGTTAAGCCTTCGGCAATCACCAATTAGAAGCCACTCGTTGCTATCCTCCTCGGGAACCATAAGAAATGGTGGTGCCCAAGAACCACTTGAAAGTTTGATAATGCCCAGTTCGAGTATGTGGTCGAATTCACTCTTCGCCGCTTTGAGCCTATCGGAGGCTAGGCGGCGTGCTCTGGATGCCACGGGCGGACCTGTGGTTGTGACATGATGCTTAAAACTGCTGGTTATGCACGAAAGAGCATGCTACGGTTGTTGTAGCTCTGGATATTCTCCTAACGTTGCCTGATAGGGCGCGTCGCCTGATTGTTTAGTTCTAACGATGGTTATACCTGGACCTTCATAGGTGGTGCTGCTAATAGATAACTTTGTGTTACTATCTATCAGTCGTCGATGACGAGCATCTACAAGTAGGTCGTAATTGCTTAGCAAATCTTTGCCAATGATGGGCACACGAATGTCAGTCAGTAGGAAAATCCGGTGAGTAGGCTTAAGTAAACGTAACTTGAGGTAGGCATACCGTCTCTCAAATGTTGCGATCGCCCTGAGGTTGGCGGCTTGGAGATTGGAGGATGGGTCATGACGACGCTCCTTTGTCGGTGCGGGAAGAACGCTTACTTCTGCGCTGGTGTCGACGGGGTGGCGAACTCTCGTTTTTATATCTGTGACGCAAAGCATACAGCTGTTTCCGCCTGCTTCGGTTGCCGTGAGCACGCACTGGCGTGATGGTTTCCCGACTTTGTGTCCTTGTTGAAACTGCATGGCTTCCGGCATTTTGTGGCCTCGTCTCCGTAAGTGTTATGAAAGAATCACCATTTGGAGTTTTCCACCCTGTTAGGTTAAGTTTTTGGATAGCAACTCGAGTTGCTGCGATGGGATGTGATGCGTTTCTGTGACGTGCTACGTAACCTAGGTCTTCGAGCTCGTAGCAACCGTTTAACAGGGCTACACAGCCTGGTCACCTCTGAAACCTGCCCACAGGTTTGTCGCAGACAGAACGTACGTTAGAGCCGGGTCTGCCCGATATCTCCAGTATTTTATCTGCTGGGGCAGCCAGGTCATCGAGTGGAACTGACTGAAGCGTCACTAACACAGTCTGCGCGGTTTGTGGTGGTTTCGAGAGAAACAGTCCTCGGAAAAGGTCATTGCCGGATGTTCGCGTGCCCATAAATTCTCTCATGCGTGCGAGGACTTCAGTGGCTCAGTTGCTGCCAAGCTCGATGTTACGAAGTAATTCGTCTAGGCGCTGGCGATCTGTGAGATCACTTTTCAGCAGTGCGGCTCTGAGAAGTGCATAAGGATTACTTACTTCAGGACCAAACATGTACGCTGTCACATGCCTGTTTAATTTCCGTGGTGGTGAACGTATGACAGCAATAAATCTAGAATGAGGATCCGCGGCCCCCTGTCCTCCAATATCTGCCTCGGCATACAGAAACCATATTTCTGCATTATCTGGCCAGTATGACATGACTTGGATCGTGTTCATCGTTGGCTTAATACGGATCAGTTGCGGAGTATGGTGGGACATGAGATGGAGTTGTGTATGGATATATAAACGCTGTTAGAACAGAAACATTATACAGGTATAAAGTGGAACGGGCTCACCAATTTAAGATTTGTTCTTCTTCGGGATTTCTTATCACGTCGGGCTCACCAATTTAGGAATTGTCCTGGTGCGAACTTGACACACGCAGAGGGCAAGCATAAATTATTCTAACTTGTTATGTACCCACGAATACAAGACCAAGGAGGAACACAGCAGCGTAGTTGAATTGAATAGTATAGTTGTGAGGTCGCGCCAAGATACCGATGTGTTCCAACTAACTTGCCAGCGGGTCAGGTACGAGCAGTACAACGTGACACGACAGCGTACCAAGTGGCGAGGATGCTTGACCGGGTGCACCTGGCTTAGCGAGTCCAGTTAAGCCATCAAGGTCAGCATCGATGTTAAATCCCGTCAAACACTGGGCAGTTGATTCTGGAGAAGTGTTTGACGCTACAAAGTTTAAGCTTTTACCCACTACCATATGATAGGAATAGTGATATTAATTTTGCGTATTGTTTCTTAACTAGTGACTTAAAATTTGACCTCGTTATTATTTTTACTCACTGGCGATCTGATTACCCAAGAGTTTATTGATGAAAGGTTGGAAAGTCATGACCTAATGAGCTGTTAATGAAACTCAGACTACCTGGATTGTATCCAGTGACTGAGCGTAATCGTAACCTTTCCTTCGGTTAATTGCATGAATTAGGAAGTGGATCTTTATAGCGATAAAAGTTTCAGTAGTTAGCATGGGCTGCTTAACAGTGAAGACGAATGTTGTTTGTTTATATGCTTCATATGTTGAGGAACACATTGACCGTAATTGTGGGCGATCATTTTGGGCGAACGGCAAATGGCTATCTCTGCGGCTCGTGGGAAGCTGATAGCTGTCATAGGTGATGAGGATACATGCACTGGATTCTTACTTAGCGGTACTGGTGAGGTCGATAAAAACCGTCGTCCGAATTTCTTTGTTGTTGATAAAAATACGTCACAAAGCGATATCGAAGACGTATTTCGTTCCTTTGTGTCCCGTGACGATATTGCTATAATCCTGATCGTCCAAAACGTAGCAGAAATGATACGCCATCTAATAGACTCACATAATGTTCCTATTCCTGCAATTTTGGAGATCCCTAATCGTGACGTCCCGTATGATGCCCAAAAGATACTATCCTTAAACGAGCGAAAGGTTTATTCAGTGCTGAAGATTTTCGCTAAATATTTTGAGCAATGTGTCGGAAATTATCGGAAAAAGCATAATATCTGTGATTTACTTATTTCTGAAATATAACCTTGTTAGTATCTGCAGTTCTTATTGTGATATATAGAAGTCTCCCTAAAACTACCAGTTTTTTTTTCAGGAATGACTGATTGCAAGCCAGTAACTTCTAACCTCGATCGTAATGCAAAGGAATTTGTACCCCTAGCAGACTTAAGAGAAAAAACTTTGTCGGAAATAAAGGCCACAGTAGAAGCAATTTTCGATACACGTTCTGCTAACGCTCAAGAAAACCTCAAAAAAGTAAGTGGTTGAAAGTTTAGTGAGTGATGGTACTTTTGATTCGTTCTTTTTTGTTTACTGAGATGCCATTTGACATCTCTGCCGTTTAAATGGAAGTAGTCACTCTGGTTGAACTAAAGTTCTCTGTCTTTGAGCCGCACTTTCATTGATATTCCACTGTGAATCATATCTAGTCGATAACAGTCTTGTCAATTAAAGCTAAGGAAACACTTAGTAATACTCAGACACTTTCCACTGTATGCGACTAATTTACAATACTTATTAGGTGTGGATGTTACTTCAAGTATCCGTGTTTTCCAGAAGTCGAAGAAAATAATGAATGAGCAGGTTCATACCAGACCTGCTTATGACTATTATTATCATTATACCATAATGTCGCTCCATGGTCCTAGTTCATATTAATTGTTATAGAGTTGAGCGAAAGGTAAATAGTACTTTTTATGAGCTGATCAGACAATTGTTCGGACAGTGGGCCCTCATATTATTCCTGACGCTGAAGAAAAACATGCTTAAATGGTAAGTACCGTGAAATTTCCTGAGATTTACCTGAGCGTTTTATTGGATAATACTGATTAGATTCTTGCTAGTTTGTTAGTGTGAGGACCATCATGTCACTGAACAAACCGCTCAAGAACGGTAAAAAATTTCCGTTTCACTTACATTATCTTCCATTTCGCTCATATCGCTACCAGGTTAATTTGGTTTCCGAAGAGATTTATGTGGTTTTCAGTCATATCCCATGAGCTACGTCAGCCTAATTTAAACAAATGGTTATGCTTTATCAGTGTTTTTAGAGGTATTAGTTTCTATTCTTGCAATGATTTTGATGCTTGTCTCTCAATCCTATTTGACAAAACAGTGATGTTTGGGATACCGTTTGCACTAGTTAAGCGTTGAATAACAGTCTTTGATTAGTTAGTATCAGCATCTTGCTCATTTCAAGAAAACTGAGTTAAATTCGATCACACATGGCAATATTGCTCTATATGCACTTGTTAAATCGTAGGCTTTTTGGACCAGTGGTGACAAAAGCACATTTCTTTCTCAAACTGTACAGTCCAACCAAACACCTTGGTATGGTCAGGAGTGGGATGAATTCATTTATTTGTCTAAGATGCTTTCAGATGACTGCGCGTTGATCAGTTCTGTAGCGAAGCCCCTCTCATTGATTTCCTTTCTCCATACCCTCATAAAATACAATCGGTTCCTTGACTGTGGTGTTACCCCATCCTTGTAAATAATCAAGGGTAAGTTTTCTGGGTCGGATACCGTATGGCGCTTTAGTACCTGAAGTTCCTCACGGACCTTCGCTCCACCGGGTTCTAGGACCCTGTCAGTGTTGATTACCATACTACCTACTTAACATACCGTCCCACTAGAACTAGGCTTCTTGATGTCAGTGGATTGGATGAGGTGGGATAGCTTCCTGGTATTGTCAGAAGCAAGAGCCGTTATTTGACCAGACTTCGATAGCTATCTTGGAATTGAGTTTACTGTACTCGTAGCAACTAACTTATATGTTGACCCGTTTGAAACGACGATTATCGAAGTCCAAGCAGGTGCTTCTGAAGAAGTGATATTCTTGAGCACACCCACGATATTGTTAGCAAATTCCAATGTCATATGTTTGAACTCAGGTTTTAGAAGCAGGAGAAAGAAGCCAGCTAAAACTCGCTATGGTTGCGCCAGAAGTTAGGGCTCAATTGTGATCTGCGTGGAGCTGTTGAAGGGGACCCTTGTTATCGGACCTGAGACTAACCAACGTAGGCGAATCTTTGCTGAACATAGACACTCCAGCTAACATTTCGAGCGCATTTGGTAGTGAAGTTCTACCTTACTCTTAGCTCCATTCTGATTGCAGTCGGGTTGAATGATTGCAAAGATGAAATATTGTTTACTTTGACAGTTACGCTCTAACTTTAATCGAATGTTCTAGCCAAACAGCACGCAACTAATTTGTACTGGAGATTCAGTCAACTAGCAAAGCCTCAAATATACTATTCGCTGCAACACCAGAACGACCAGATGGTGCTGCCACAAGGTCCTTGAATTAACCCATGGTAAGATTTTTGAGCTGATAGGTCCGGAAGCTGTATAAAGCATCTCATCAGAATCTTGCTTGCAGGTCTCTGAGACACATTGTGAATAAAAGTTGAAGCTTTCCGCAGTCCTTGTCAACCAGTCTTATCTGTTCTACATCAAGGTACCAACTTTAAAAGTAGGTGGCATACAAGGTTTCAGAATCCTAAAGTGAAGCACAAAATTTTTGTGGGAACTGTGACCAGTGAAAATAGTACACACAGAACAGGATGAATTAGCAAAAGGTTCATTATACAGCAACAGTGGCTTCTTAAAAAAAACTTGATAAATGCTTTGAAAAACACAAAATCAACATAGCATCTCGTACACAGGTGCATCGATGTGAGTTGCCCACTTCACGGTAGTACACGAAAACAAGTGTATACGGGGAGAAGAAATTTAAAAAGTCAGGTAAGTCAAAACATGCAAGCTTTAGAAGACGTCGAGGAGTGAATACAACTCCGTTAATGTGACCAATTTCCAGTCTTCAACCATTGATTTCAATGGTCTCGAGGAGCCAGCCAGGTAGTCTACGGGTCTATACACGACTCAGATCAACAGTTAGGGTTTTCATACACTAGTATCATGCCAGCCTAGTCACCGTGGACCCTCTTCCAGTCTAACCCAATCTCCCTTTGCATTGCACGTCGAGGTGGGCAGTGGCTCAGCATATGCAGTACGTGTCCAAGCTACAGTCGACAAAGATTCGCGACCTCATCGATTTGACTGACTTGCTTTCCTTGCCTAGTGCCCTTCCCCTGACCTCTAACATTGCTCACCTGATGATTCTTGCCATACGTAAGCAATGTTACGAAGGCACCTGGAACCGCTTTATATCTTTTACTTCCAACTGCCACTTCTAAGCCATTTAACAGGACAGAACGGACTGCAACGCAGTGTACGTGTCCTTTTACAGGTAGTCGGATATCTCACCAATGCCCTAGATAATGCAAGCTGGCAAATGCAAAATGGACCTGTATCCGAGCTGAGATTTCGTCAGGGTCCAGTCCGTTTGGTCTAATGCAACTCCCCAAGTAAGTGAAGTGGTCGGCTCCACTCCCCATCTTTGAAATAGTAGTTGCAGACTATTTTTGGAGTATCATCTTACATTTGGCAGGTGCCAGCGAGAGGCATGCGAAACATATTCAGATTTCTACCCAACGCGTTCAGAAGACCCCGCATTTCGTCAGCGTCTTCGCTTAACAGGACAATATCGTCTGCATGCTCAACCAGATAACCTCCAGGGGGTAGATCTATCCCTCTGAAGTCAGAAGTACTTAAGGTTATGTTCTTTAGTGTGTCTGTGACGAAGTTAAATAGGAACGGTGACAGTGGGCATCCTTGGCAAATACCACTAGTTGTCTTCAGTCTTGATGACAGCTCTCCATAAGCCTTTACGCAGCTATATGAGTTCGAGTAGAAAGCTGTGATTATTGTTATATAGTTGTTCGGTACTCTCTTCACAGTCAGACACTGCCATAACGCCTCGCTGTTGACAGTGTCGAATAGTGCCTTCAAGAAATATGACAAGTGTCGATCGTAGGCCGGTAGGTGTGCGTGTGTCCCCGAATCTGTCTGAGAATCTGGCTAATGCATCCTTATCTAACCCTGTGTGACGCCTGGCTGGTTTTCTCGAGTTTGCTGTTCTCGAGCTGCAATTAGGCGTCGGATAACTACGGGTCCTAGGATCGTGGATGCAATGCTAGTCAAACTGTTTCCCCTGTAATTCCATATTAGGTTTCTTTATTTGATATACAGCACATAGTGATACAGTATTATTTACTTGATACCGCTTCGGGCATAAATTACTGCCTATAATCATTTCACATTGATATGATTATGCGCAATAATTTATGCTCGGGACATCATTCAGTGTTTCTTACTAAGATATGCCAGTTTCACGTTAGGTCTCTTGGACAGTTACTTAGCAGTACCAGGTCCTATGTTTATTTTGGTTGATTAACTTCAATCTGACCTATTTCTTCCTATATATATCCTTATTTGTGTAAAAAATGTTTCAGGGAACATACTTGCGCTTGTAATGGAGTTTCGGGGAAACATCTCAACTGGTTTCTAATTGCCTGACGATGAACATATGATTTCTGATCGACACTCATTGAGATTTTTGCAGTATGTTTGTAGTTTTAGCTCTTCGGCTCAGTAATTCCATTTTCAAGCAGTGGCTCTCTAGTCGGATTTCCCTTTCATGCACTTCAGTCCAGGCAACCGCGTATTATTGTGAACAGTCACAAAATACGAGTGCTTCAGTCTCCCGAGTTTGTATTTTTATTGGTCGCTCGCGTCGGAATATATGATTATTTTCTTTGAGTGTATTAGTGGTAAAATAGTTTGCCCAGTTATTAGGTGCTATAATAGCTATGATAGCGTAACTGGGTTTGAGGTTTGTATAAAACAAATAATCTGATTAGTTTTTCCTGTTGCTATCTTTTACTTTGTTGTCTATCACTCATACTTCTTTTTTGTTTCGCAGGTTAAGGCTGTTGCTGAGCTCTCATCACCAACTGCAGCCCTACTAGTTGGTGAATTCCTAGCCCAGTTAACCACGTCAAATGTTAATCGAGTTGGTGTAGGGTTTCGATGCCTCAAAGATGTACGAGCTCATTTGCCTGTTGCGAAAGGAAATGAAGTTGAAAGTGCAGTTTTCGAACGTGTCAAAACAATGACTCAGGAAGTTATATCAAGCAATGCCTTAAGTCACTTATGTGTGATTCACAAAAGTTGTCATGCGGCTCTTCCACATCTGGTTTAGAAATGCACGTAGGATCCGAAAATATACCAGATGAAAAATCATCAGTTGAACATGTGTTCGCCTTGGTTACATTCTTGAGGTTTCTTATTACTAATCTCAATACTACCGAGGACTGTGAAGCCTATGTATGTGCTCCACCTATTCAACCTTGTATAGATTTCTGCTCACTTGTAGATACTGTTTGTGACCTCCAACTTCATTCTGAAAGGATAAGGAATCCTGTTGAGTCGAATGAAACCAGTATGTCCCTCCTGGATACTTCGTGTGCTCTGTTATCCGAATCCAATTGGAACAGCTTGTTGTATCACTTATTTGATGGTTTTTCTCAAGGGCTTATTCACTTCAGTTCCGTCCTGACAAGCGTTAACGTGAGAGTTCTAGATGGATCATGGCAACGTACGTGTAGTGTGGATGATCGTGATATTAATTGCGGAATTTCTCAAGACTATGCACCTGCGTCATATCTTTCCATGTTAATAAATAAATGTTTGACAAGTATGCGTGCACTGCTTATAGAAGAACAGTTGCCCATGAAGATTCTACGATCTACTGCTCTGGACTTGTTGATGTACGCCTCCGAAATGGCTGCTCTTCAGAATGCCACCTGTTCAAATTGGACAGAGTCAAATCAATTGTGCGAAGAGATATGTTCAGATATGAATCTATCTAACGAATCTTTAGAAGAATTAGACGAAGAACAGGCAGCTGACTTTCAAAGTTTCTTAAAAGAATCCGGTCAATTGCCTTGAAATATCTGAATAAAAACGACAATAATATACTTTGTTCAGTTGATTCAATCTCGTTCATCCAAAAACTGTCTTTCTTTATGTATAAATGATCCGGCTTAGGTGTATAACAAACTATTCTGTGTTCCAGCAATGTATTTTATTGATTGTATTATATGTGCATTCTAAAGCATTTTAAATTCTACCTCTGTATTTACGTAGACATAATTTACCATTGTATTATTGTCCTTTTAGTCTTGATGTACTTTTTTTTTAAAATAAGTTAAAAATGTTTAGCAAAAGACTGTTTGTTAGCTTGCGCCATCTCTAGGGCCAACGAGATATCCATGAGAAGGCGCGTATAATGCGCTGCAGTGAGACATGACCATTGAAAGTGGAAGATATCGAGAGATTAAACTCTTTCGAACGTAGGTGTCTTCGTTGCATCATCCGTGTATGGTGAAATCACGTGTAAGCAGTGTCGAGGTTGCAGGAAGAGCACTAGGCAAGTTCACTGAAGTTGTAAACCTTCACTTATTGAGGTGGTTTGGACACGTCGCATATCCCCAGTCGCCATCCACCTTGATGTGAAATGCTAGGAGTTGCAAGGAAGTTTAGGATGATCAGATCAAGATGTGACACCAGTGCACGTAATCTGACTGTTGATGTGAGCTGTGTAGACCATAGAAACCATTGGTTGAAGACTCCTGGTGAAAATCGGTCACAGTGGTGTAGATGTATTCACTCTCTGGCGTCTTCTAAAGCTTGAATATTCGCACTGACCTTTTCTTTCAAATTGTTTATTCAATCACAGCCTTGTCTCTTGATATCATTCTTTGTCCGTTCACATATTGTTTGGATACTACTATGAAGTGTGGCGACTTAAGCCGATGCGCTTGTGTGCGAGGTTCGTTGATCTTATCTGACAAGTACGGAGGACGGTAGCTGTGGATTATTGAGATTAATTGAAGTGCTGGCTGGCACATAACTGCTGGTCTCAATTACTGAGTGTCATAGTCTGCAAGTAGACGGGGAAAATCCTCTCATAGTAACCACAGGGGTATCAGTCTAACATTGTCTAAGATCCTAGGTTCAGTAGACATTAGAAACCAAGTGGAGGTCTGAAACAGAAAACCCGACAAACCAGGTAGATTTTAGACCCGATCGTAGGCCTGTTTACCAGATACTCACCCTCCGTCAGGCTCTGGAACACAGGCACTGATGTCCGACACTAACTGCATTCCCAGACGTTAAAACAGCATTTGATTCCGTCAGTCGAGAGGTTCTATGACAGAGTGTCACTAACGGGGTTGCAGGGTAAGTGCATAATTGGTAAAGGCTCTGTACTCAAATACCTATCAGCGAATGAGGGTTTGTGGTAGGGTATCATGAGTATAGTACGTCCACTCTTGTTTTATTTTATCATAGGCGTAATTATGAGGGTCTCCCTCTCGTTATATCACTACAAGGGTTGGTTTTTCACATGAAATTTCTCAGTAAACGTAGAATACTCCGAGGACATAGTCCTGTTCAGTGAACACACTGACAGTATTCAGAGTCGTCTGGATAAGTTGAGAATGTTTAGGATAGGTTTCTTATCACCTGAACGTGCACTGCCGTTCCATGCATAGTCTTGTTGGTGCAGGCTCTGGAAATAGAACTTGATGGCTGTTTGTTCTCTGCTTCATGACTTAATGGGTATTGGGGATTTATGCTGAATTCGATGATGCACTATAGGAATTTAAAGATTATGATTAGATTTTAGGGTGAGCGATTTTAGAGCATACCCCCCCCCCGCATGGACGTTTTGTTCCCATTACCTGATATTTATGGGAAATGAAAACCATGAAATTAGCAAGTAGTGCGAAGAAATATGTCCTAACATAAATCTAGCTATAACCAGTGACATCCTGTCAACGACTGGAGACTCGAGAACAACCGCATAGTTGCTCCCAGCTTCACTGTTCACTTCAGGGCCATTTGATACACACTAAAGGATAGGGGAATTCTGTAGTCCTACCAATAAGTCTGTACTCTTATTTCATTGAGTATATTACAAGTACGTGATCAGCAAAACAGAGAAGTTGAGTTGCATTCATGTAGGAAGATTTCTACTCGTATCTTCTGACAAACTGTTTATAAACATCAAGTATTTAGTTAGTCGTCGGAAAATCAGTTATCGCAACCGGAGCAGCTGTACATTTTTATACATGTAAAATTTCCAGCATACAGAATAAACGGAACTACTATTAGCAACAAACTTGGTCTTGTATTTTTATATTGAATCTGGAGGTTTTTGGAGACTTATTAATTGATTTCAGGTTGGAATTCATCATGCACTGCACTGACATCTGGGTCGGAATCCACTGGTCGATATTTCCTTATTACACTATGTCAGTTCCACTTACATGTCATAAGATATATTTAAATCATTTGTTGTTAGATATCAGAAGTAAGTAGCTGATGAAAAAGAATAAATCCATGGTATCATGTTCTGTTTAATTTCATTCAGGAAAATATAAGTGTATACACGTTACAATATACCATATGATCAGCGTGTTCGTTAAAATGCTCAGCAATTCACGAAGATAGCGTAAACAGGAAAACACAAGATAAACAAGTAGCACACTGATCAAGAGAATACGGATATACACAGCGTGGGATAAATTCCATTTTGTTTTTTCTTAAAACTCGAAAAATCAAACCGGTATCTCATAATGAAATGCTACACAGTACCAAAGTACCGTCATTCATGTAACAGTCTATGCTTTCAAAAGAATATTTAGCTACAATGATCATATCATTCTTGATGTTTGCATAAAACAAGAAGCAATTTTATCAATAAGTGTAAATTTTAATTATGTACAACAATAAAAATGATTGAAGTTAGGCATATGTAAGTTTCCTCTTCATAACTGCACAACACCCATAATGATGCTATTGACATAGTTAATGTTACATATTTGATTTAGCCTCCCATCGTTCTTTCGCCTGAAAACTAAAAAGGGATAGATCAATCAGATAATTTCAATAGACTGTCAGTCATCAATGAGTATTCAGTATTACTGTAAAAATCACTGACCACTCCAGTTGACGTATGGAACAAAATAGAGAATTTACGGTTGATACGCTTTAAAAATTAACAAGTAGATGAAGGGTAATAAGATGACTGGAATTTTGAAAATGCTAACCGACTTCGAGGTATATTAGCAGCCCTAAATTCTTAAGCTTTAACATGTCGATTACAATACTCAGGCAAGTTGTCAGCAATTTTATAGGTTAATAATCTTTAGTTCAGCCACCTTTCAAAGTAATCCTACTTCATCAAACATAAGATATCAAGTTAGAAATCGGTTAGTATATGTAACACATCCTAGACAGCTCATTCGGTCAACTATGCGAGAAATAAATCGAAGTGAATATTAGAAGTGCAAGTTAGATGTTAGAATGTCGAATCAGGTTAATGCTGATGCTTCATGAAACCGCTCGTGTAGCTATGATTCACCGATTAAGACAACCGAATTCCCCTTCGTGAGTCACCGATTAGAAACTCACTCAGTATACCGAGATTTGAGCATTATCAACACTCACACAACAGATGTGGTTTATTATCTATTTCATGGACATGTAATTGTTTGATTTTGTCATACTAACTTTACTATGAAATTCCGTCGTCGATGTTAGTCCCCAACTTAGGTTACGCAAGAAACTTCAGAAGTTCAGAACAAAAGATGGTTCAAAGATCTATCCGAAATAAAGTCATGGATGTACACTGTTAAAGAGAACCAAACTGAGAGGGAGCAACTATTTAGTTCTTCTTTATTTTCAATAGTTCTCTACCTCATCCTTTTCCATGAGGGCGTCTGCTATGAAATCACTTAGGTATCAGAGAAAATAGCGTTAAGCAAATATACTAAAATAGGAAGGATAGAGTAGATTCATCCTGCTAGTTTGTGCCATCTCACAATATAATTCTATCCGTAGAACTGACATCATAATAAAATTACAATACTAATTGTCATTACTAGGTAGTTTGCAATTACATATCATTCAATTATTTGCCTTGAAAGCACACGTTTGACTGGGAGTCACAAACCTCATTGTCATGAAACTTTATGTAATAATTAGTGATAATTACAGTAAACAGAGTGTTACTGTATCGCTATACAGCCGTGCGCCTGACATACACACGGGTATATTAGGATAAAAATATTGACTGGATTAGAAGTCAGTTTGGTAGTATCATAAAATAGGAAGTAAACCCAATCTACTTATCTGGTTTTCAGGTAAGTATTATTACTATTATTATGGTGATAGACTATTTTGAAAACTTTTGAAGTAGTTAGCTCAAAATATATTTTAGTAATGACTAGACTTATGAAACACTTAGGCTCATAATATAGTCAGTCAGTATATCACTAGTGGTATTACTGCGTAACAGATCAAGTTACCAGACTTCACATCGATAGTACAACGAACTACAAAATAATACGCAGAAGACAGGTAAAAATAAACAGTGAAATCAAAAGTTGTAGAAAGCCACAAGAGAATATGGACAAGTTAAGCAAATAATTAAACTTCTAGATGCGCCTGGGTCACTACAATCGATTCTGGGGCTTATCACATACAGCATACTATGAGCTCATTTTATTTCACAATCTTTCACCAACTGCAAAAGCCTACAATTGAAATGAAGTATTACTGGTGATAATGACGTAACATACTTTAAATAAGTAGAAATAAATGAAGACTTGAAATCCAGGATTAACAATAAGGTAGTCAGTCAGTCAAAGAAACAGGAATAATAATTACTAGTCATAGTCAAAATCAATGACAATATATATCCGATGAGATAGAGAACTGTGGAGCTGTGAAAAGCAGAGGGAACAATAAATAGATGGGAGTCTATTTGTAAAAGAATAGGTTGTTAAAGTGTTAGTAGGTTACACAGTGGCATGAAAAAAAGTAAGATTAAGAGTCAGTAAAGTAATTAATGAAGAGATGATGCAATCAAAAGAAAAGGGAAGACTATACACATACACAAAAAAACTATATACAGTTACCAGGGTAAAGAAAGGTTAATTACAGTCTCTTTCTGAGTACATAGGTCAGGTTGAAAATCTTTGATAGGGGCAGCCTCCGCAAACATCAACTGTGTATATTAATTAACCTATGCTTATCGAAACAAGTACATAGGACAGACTGAAAGAAGGGTGCCTACTCAATTTTATAAATATATTCCGAGAAATCTGTCTCAAAGGTAACAATCATCAGAGTTGCGATGGACAGAGGATACCAAATAGATGTTTCTCAATCTTTCAGGATAATCAACAAATAAAGAACGTCATGCTTAATATTGTTTACGGAAACTCTTGCCACCAAACATTTTCAGCCTAACCTATGTACTCAGAAAGAGACTGTAATTAACCTTTCTTTACCCTGGCAACTGTATATAATTTTTTTGTGTATGTGTATAGTCTTCCCTTTTCTTTTGATTGCATCATCTCTTCATTAATTACTTTACTGACTCTTAATTACTTAACAATTTTCCAGTTTTTCATATGACTACGTAACTTATTAGCTCTTGGATGGTCTCTTCTTTTACGCTGATTTTCGTTTGTTGTCCCTCCTACTTCGCAGCTTCAGAATCTTCGATCTTATGATATATAACTCACCATTGATTTTGACTAAGACTAGTAATTATTATTCCTGTGTTTCCTTGACTGACTGACTACCTTATTGTTAATCTTGGATTTCAAGTCTTCATTTATTTCTACATATCTAAAGTGTGTTATGTCATTATTACTACTAGTAGTTCATTTCAATTGTAGACTGTTTGCAGTTGATGAAAGGTTGTGAAATAAAATGAGTTTATTTTATTCTGCAAATGTCTTTGTTCTTGCATTGTTCAAACTAAGTTAGATTGTAACTTCATTTAGTTAGTTTATTAGATACATCGCACAGTGAAACAATATAACTATGGACAATAGATCGTATTCAAAATGTTATCTAGTAAATAATTCTGTTTTAATATAAGACATATTGAATTGATTAACTAAAATGGAATTTACTTTCGATAGATTCTTGGTTTATATTCTTTGACGGTTATCTCTATATTCTCATTGAGATTATTCAGCTTCATTTGAATAACTCAATAGAATAGAATACAAAGCGATCAAGTAATTAAAAGCTTTAAGTTGTCACACTTTTGTGTACTATACACACATTCGTATTTAATGAAGAAAAGTTGTTGAAAGAAATGAAATTTAGTCAAGTGTCTTGTAAAGAATTGATTAATCTGGAGAGAAAAAAAAAACCTTTTTTTTAATGCTAAATAATATCCGATGGAAAATCATTGAGAAGTGAGGTGAAATTTCATTTTAAATTGAGACATTTCAGCAATGTGTATATATCGGAACTCAAGACAGATAGAAATTCGCACACAAGTGCATCAGTTCAAGTTGCCATGCTTCAGAGTAGCATAGTAAAGCCAAGTGGATACGAAGGACTGATATCGAAGCAAACAACGGAGTATAGAAGGAGAGGAGATTTAAACATTATGCTCAGTCAAAAATTCAAGCTTTAGAAGACATAGTGTAGTGGCGTTGCTGATAAAAACGGATATAAGTAGTATATATCGAGAGGGTGACAGGAATCATAAGGAATTACCGGCAATGGATAAGGTTTCTGCCAACAGCAACGCAGGGGACAACACAGGCGTAATACAGGGGATGCTGCTGATAAGGGTGTATGAAGAGCCGGTCAAGAGCAAATCAAGACAGGAACGGAGAGGAAACGAAGACATTTGCAAATGGCTGCGTTAGTGCAAGGAGTACTCATATGTAGGCACTACCGTTCCAATTGTTCGTAATAAGCATTCTCTCGTCGAGTTGTCTTCTGTTTCTTCAACCCTAAACGGTACGCCAACTTGGATACGCAAAACAGCATAGAAGTTAGGACAAAAGTGCAGTCCATCAAGTTTCACAGAAAGGGGAAATAGCATTAAAATAAATCATAAGGATATGAAATAGGGCACACTACAGTGCAGTACATTAGCTAATCGGCAGAAAAGATAATGTAGACTGAAAAATGTCAAACTGCTAATTTGTATCCCATATGAGATGAAGCAACTTAATACGTTCAATCATTCAATACGTCGTATGCATTCAAGGTTTCAGGGAACACATCAATTCAAAGCATCATTTTACTTTTCATTTGTGCACTATACACGCTAAATACCCTCAAAATTTAGCTCAAGGCATTCACAAGAACCTGTGATTTGTCAGTGTTTTCACCTAACTCGGGACATTCGTGCTTTGTGATAAACACATCTCATTTCAGGCACCTGGTTAGAATCCAGTAATGTATAGGCTCCAAATCCAGGTACCTGGTGATAGTGTAACGACTATCCCACTTATTTGGTTGATATTCATCTTGATTCCTGACATTTTTAAACTACATCTGTGCCATTATGACTGATTTTTAGCCATGTTAGCAAGGCTCACAAACCAATGATTACTAGTATCTTGAGGAATTCAACTAGATAGTCAACACCTCGTCACATTTCTTAGACCAACAGTTGAACACTTCATGAATGGTGCAAAGTCTTGGTCTGGCCACTATGAGCCTTCATTCAACCCACTCCTGCTTCAGCTAACGTAGCATGTCGAGGTATGCGCTGACTTGGTATGTACAAAATATGTTCAAGCCGCTGCAGTCAGTTAAAGTTTACAACCTAGTACACTTTGCATAACCTCTACAGTGATCACACGGTGATTCCGCTACACGTGAGAAATGTTACAAAGACGGACCTGGTCGAAAACTTTCAACTTCTTCATATCTGCTACTTTCAACGCCATGGCTCACAATCGAATAGTGAGACAGCGAGAACTGCAACTCAGTATACTCCTCTTGGCATAGGTAGTCAGTTAACTCACCGACCCTAGGGATGGTACAAGTTGGTAAATGCCAAACGGGCTTTCCGTATCCGAGCTGAGGTTTTGTCAGCAACCAACTCGTTTGGGCTGATGCAACTCCCAAGTAAGTGAAGTGATTAACGCATTCTACTATTTCACTCCCTAACCTTAATCTAGGATTGGGTGCAGGCCAGAGACCAAGTATTTGACAGGAGAAAAACGCATACCAAAGATACTCAGGTTCCTATTCAAGGGGTTGAGAAGACTGCATTTATTCAGCGTGTTCGCTTAACATGACTACATCATGTAAGTCATGGACATCAACCAGGTACTCTCCTTGAAGTAAGTTAATCCATGTGAACTTGGAAGTACCTAGGATTATAACACAGTTGAACGAGAATGGTGACAGTAGGTATCCTTAGAGGAAACTACTGGTCGTCAATCAATTCAGTTGACAGCACTCCGTAAGCTCTTACATATATGCGTGAGTTTAAGTAGAGAAAATTTTTCAACGTCATACTTTCTCCGTACTCTCTTCACAATCAAATGCTGCCACAACACCACTCGATCGACAAAGTAGAATGCTGCCTTCAGGTCAAAAAATACGGAAGTGTCGGCCGCTGGTAAGTATGCTTGTGTTCCAAAACTTGTCAAAATAAATGAAGATGTAACCGATGCAACCCCGTCCTGGTCTGAAATCCGCCTGGTTTTCTCGAGCTTGCTGTCTTCGAACCTCAGTTAAACGTTGGATGACTATGGACCCTAAGTTCCTTTAAAACATATTAGTTAAGCTGATCCCCATATGGCTGTCACACGAAAACTTCTCACCTTTTATACACGAATGACCAGCAATCTAGACCAGTCTAATGGAACTGTCTGTAATTCCCATACACTAACGAGTTTCTACGTTAATGTATTTGGTAATTTTCTACAGCCTTCCTTAAAAGTATCAGGTAGCAGTCCGTGAGGTCCTGTTGCTTCACATCTTTTTAGATTTGAAACAGTATTCTCAACTTTGAGAAGATTTGGAAGACAAATATCTACGTTCCATACAGGTTCGGGGTTGTACACTGGAGAAGAGAAGCGTGGGTGCAGGTCATTGGAATTGTTTCTAAAGTATTCCGTCCAATATTCTAGCCGCCTATCCAGAGACGTTATCAGAGACCGGTGTCATTCGACAATACAAGTTGGTTTGCTCAGTTACCAATGGGGAAATGAGAGTTATCTAACTTCTGTTCTAACAAGCGAGCTGTAACTACAGTGTTTTCAAGGATTGTACGTGATGTTGATCAGTTAGTGAAAAGAAAAGCTTCGCAAGACTGCATGAAAAGAATGATGAAACTATTCATATAGAATTTCGAGCCTTAATGCAACTTGACCTTTCAGCATCAAATACGTCTCTACCTATTTCCCATCTTTTGATCTTGTATCTGGTGTATTGGTTCACCGTGTGATACTGTTACAGTTCAACAGTATTCCATCAAGTAGGTCGTCTAGTTGCATCAGCAACTTAAGAGTCTCTGCTAATGTCAACTGTACAGTGGATTGAACATCTAGGACCCAGTCACTAACAGATACTAAATTTTGTTCCACATCACTTCATCATAAAAAAATTTAGGAAACGAATGCGTAAGGGATAGGAACAGGATGCTACTAACCTTCAGAATTACTGTGGCAAATGGGTATGTCTCTACATTGCAGACCTAACGAAGGCCCACCGATCGTACACAGGATGGTGAACCTATGCATGAATCAAACAGATTTGTCTGTATGTGTACTCAAACTGCGTACAGCTTTTAATATATGTGATAGTGACATCTATGTCACTAAAATCCTATTGGCTAAACCTACGTGAAATATGAGTTTGCATACACTCTTTAGTGAACTGCTTGGGTTGCGTAAGCTGTATGAATTGATTGAGTGCCTTAAATGTACAAAATTAAAATTCAGTTCCATGTTTTTTGAGTAGCTTTAAAAGCCCTTCAACAACAGCAAAGATAACCAATTATGTTTCTTCCTTTTATGCAAAACTATCAAAACCTGATCGGTTTTTAAAGTTATCCTGCTTTTTCCTGCGTGAATTTAATTCAAAGTTTCAAATGCCATCAGTTTTCAACACTGATACCTAATTCCATTTCGTCATCTGATAAAACTGAGTGTTTATTTATTATTAGTGACTATTCAAATTGTTAACGGCGGGTTTTATTTTAATTTTTCAATCCTAAACCCAGACTACCTTTCACTAGTTCAAACATCATCTGATATACTGACTTCCCCTACAACCTTTATATGAAGTACAGTAACCTGGTGATGAAAACTCTGAGTGAGAACTTAGAAGTAGGCGCAATCTGGTTTACTTATGTGGTTGAGAATGAACAAGGAGAATTGCCTATGTTGGATTGCCGGATAAAGTGAAGGACAGACGGTAGTTTGGATACTGCAGTCTACAGAAAATCGACACATTCCAACACGTATCTAGACTTCAAGTCATCTCATCCAGGCTAGGGCTAGAAAACTAACTAGTCAGTGCAAGGACCTAAACAAGGAACTACGAAACTACATAGAAAAAGCGCTAATGGTTAATAATTATCCTCTGCAGTTATTAAGAAATTCGTACGAACACAAGAAACGAAATAATAATAGTATCACGAGCACGAATGATAATGACAACACGAGTAGAAAGGAGTTCACACCTTCCATTGTGTTACTCTATAAAGAAGGTAGATCAGAAACTTTACGCAAGATTCTCAACAAAGCTGGAATTAAGGTGGCATTTAAACCTACGAAATCAGTCAGAGATAAGTTTTGTCGGCTGGCTTAAGGATCCGATAGAACCAACAAAGCAAAATAATCTAATCAATCAAATTTCATGCAATGACTGCGAGATCAAGTACTAGCCGGTCGAGGTCAGTTAGAATAGCAGAACACAGGAATTTAGCTAAAGATAGAATGACAGGCCTCAATAAGATTAATAATCCAGAAGAAAACTCGGCTATTGCAATGCATGTATGCATTAACATACAAACACACAATAGGGTGCGATAAAACCACTGTACTTAAGACCGATATAAATAGGTGGAGAGAGGGATTGATTACTGAATCTTTGTTCATCGAATCAACCAAACCGAACACATGCCATAGGAATGATCCAATACTTATACCAGAGATACAGAAAATTTTACTACCAATAAAAACAAATAATATGAAGTGACAAGACTATAAGAAGTAGATGTCGAAAGTAGTGTGATTACATTAATATGATTATGAACAGTGATAATTTATGCTCGAAACGAAAAGTAAATAATACTGTATCACTGTGTACTATAAATCAAATAAATAAATTTAATATGGAGTTAAATTCTAGCACAGTGTCCAAGTTTTACACTTATATTAATATGTTAGCTGTGTTGTGTTCTCTGAGCTGAGTGGCTTAATCGTGAAGCTTTCATTGTCTTCATAGACAACATCAACTCTGATCTTAATATGAAGTGAGCTGTCAATATCTATCAGTTATTCAGTAGCTTATCGTGAAGTGGTTTGTGATTGGTTGTTTCCCTTCATTGTTCGTGTACACAGACATGAATTCAATCTCGAAAATCTAGAAATCTTGGACAAAGGTAACAACACAAAGAATATCAGAGAATTCCTAAAAGCCTGGAATTCAGGTCAGACAGCAATCAGTAAATGCGCAGACATAGACCCAATCCATCAACCAATAAGAAAAATGATGTCAGATGTCAGACAGAAAAACAGCCGATAGGAAAATCTATACAGTCAACGACACAACAATCAAAAGAAACAACTAATCATAAACCACTTTGTCAAGGTAAGCTACTGAATCACTCGTGAAGAGATATTGACAGCTAACCTCATATTGAAGTTAGTGTTGATGTCTAGAAAGGTAACGAAAACTTCACTATGAAACCACCCAGCTAAAAGGAAACAACACAGTCAAGATCACTGTTTAGCCTTCCAAGAATAACCTAATCCAACCTGAAAACTGAGATAGTAATGCTACAAAAATATACTATGTAGAATAAGAAACATTTAAGATGGCTAAAATGGCTCATTTTGTCAATTCAGCCATAACTTACAGCCAAACAGGTCGTCGAAATTTCAATCTTTCCCTGGATTCAGTTTGTTCACCAACCTCCATAGGAATAGTTTTGTTAGGAGGGCCAGTAGGAGAAGACTGTATTTTCAGAGAAATGCAAAAAAATACTATAAAAATACGACTGGTGCATTGGTTCAATATGAAGTGAGTTTTTTAATCTATCAACACCAAAGCACAACTTTGGTTAGTACATGGAATATTCAATCAGTGGAAATTTCCAGAGGTAGGTAGTTACCCACGCATTAATAGATATTGTTTTACTAGGAATTCAATACTTGTTGAACTAAAGTACTGAGTGTAGGCAAACAAGTAGCTATGCTGCGTGGTTTATTCAATGTGACACACTGTGGTCACTTTTATGATGACAAATAAACTGATACGCCTTGATATCACATGCTTGGACTGTTAACTTGACCTAGTCAAGTTATTTTGACTTTCTACACGACTTACTATCTGAATGAATACTGAGAACTACGATTTCCCAGGCCTATGACTCACCAAATGAACTGAGAGTAAAGCTGCATATTTCCGGCCTTTTACCTATTCTTTTATATATATCACTGAATTACATCTCCACAGAGCATCACAGTTTATCGAAATCAAACAAGTAGGTTCACATGTGGAAACTGAGATACTACACAATAACAGACTTCATTGAACATGCAGTTACTTGGCAGCTGCTAGTCAATAAAAAGCTATTGAACTGAACTCTACATCAGTACTCCAAGTCAAATCTTAGCAAAGAGTCATTGAAAATGGACGAAAGAATACGGCCGATAATGCTTGTCTAAGCCTGTTGTTTTCATCTTTTCGGTCCCTTATAACACTCATTGCAAACGCTAATCAATGTAGTGAAAATATCCTAAACAGCTTTTATTTATTGCTCAGGTATATTTTCCTATTCTGATTGTGTAGATAACGATTACCGTACCTTCTTCACAAGATGTCATGAAAAACTAGTAATTCGTCAATAGAGGAGTTTGTTAAGTTCTTCCATAAGATTTACAACAAGCTCAAAATTAATTAACGACCAGTACCACTGACATTTTTTCGAAGATGAAATCCAGTTTACTGAACTCATTTATTCTTTTAAACAATAGATTACTGGAGTATTTACACACTCTTTTAGTAGGGTCACTGTTACCAATTCCAGTATCTTCTCAATGTGTCCCGAACGATAGCTGTTACCTTGGACTTGAATATTACAATGACCCAACGAGCTACACTTGCTGGAACACTTGTTCCCTCGAGGTCCTATCACGTCTGAAGAGTCTTTTGGATAGTGATAAGGCAAAAAGCAGATACCGTTGTAGCGTAAATTTCTACATTACGATGGGGGGGACTAAAGGCGAAGTCGTACTGCTGCTGGCTGGGGATAGTGTATGACAGCAGTAAGGTGCTTCCCTTGGGTGACCAACAGTGCCACGCTGATAATGCCTTCCCAATAGGAAGACAGGGGTTAGAAAAGGTCGGCCTGAAAAACAGCACATCCCTCACTGCCCCAAGGTCTTCCGGAGCCGGCGCTATGGGTATTCTCTATCCAACGTTAGAACCAAACCTCAAAACAACAACCCTCAAAAGGTCATGTGTGACAGGTCTCAAACATGTGTCCCATGAGCCTTGCAGTCATGCACTATCTCTTCTTTTCCAGGTGCCTCAAGAAGATAAAGCCTTCCATGGTGTGGGCAACCCGGAAGTGAAAACCGCCCACACGATTCCAGCAGTATACAAGGCCCAACCAAACATAACCTATCCTCCTCAACTCTGTCTCCTTCTTTGCCATCACTTCATGAAACTAATATTAAGCGCCTTACACCTTACCCAACCTCACATTTTGCGACCATTGTCAACGACTGAAACCTTATTGGGAGCCTCCTAAGACTCCGCTCGCCATCGATTTCATGTAGGAGTTTTCAACATCCAAACTCTATACCAAGTCGGTTAGCAAGCATCACTCGCCAGAACTCTGGAATCTCTAGCCATGGATATTTGCTGTGTCTCTTAGACACGTATGCAGGACCCGAGTGTGGTTATTAAATTGATCTCACCTGGCCGCAGTAGTGAATCTTCAAAGTTTACTTTACTAGTAACCGGAAACCCAATGGCTAGCTCTCATAGACTCGGTGGTGTAGGCATAGCATTACGTTGCACAGCAGAAAGTGTTCTCCTCGACTGGTTCCCAGTAAATAGCCGGCTATGTACTGTTCGACTGAATGGATCTGTTAGGACTGGGAATGACCGTGAAACCAACCGATATGTATTCGTAATCTCCGCCAACGCACCTACCAACTGTATTTCGGATGATGCAAAAGACGAGTCCCATGAGGAGCTACCAACTTTGCTACAGAAAGCAAGATGTTCTAATATTATCATAACGTCAAGTGACTGACGTTCAAGTAGGTAAGCTGAGCCCTCCCGAAGGCATTTTAGAGGTATCCGCGAAATCCCATGCCAATGAACCGGCAACGGTGATCATTTGTTGCAGTTTTTCTCCGACAGTCACTTGTTTCTAGCCACCACTAACTTTAGGCATAAGGAAAGACACTGTCTCACACGGTGTCCGCCGACATAATACCATTGATAGACACAGATAGATCACATTGCTACAAGCCATCGTTGGAGAGGATTGGTGGAGCATTGCCGCTCTTTCTAGGGTACCACTATGGACTCCAATCACGTGCTAGTATAGAATCTTGTATGTCTGTGCCTTAGTGGTCGCAGTGAATCATGCGATAGTAAAGACTGACCATGGTTGATTAGAAAATGAGAACACACTGACTGGAAGGTAACTAACTGCATGGTGCATAGTTCTAAGGACAGATCGAATTCTATTGATCACCTAGTAATGTAGCCATCAGGGTAGTTGGCTCAACATCACGATGCACTTTGATAAATGTTAGTTAGATGATGGCAATAAGCAGGAAGCCCTGGACCTAAGTTTCGTACTTTCTGGTCCTCATCAGCCAGGCGTATCTGCAACCTCAGCTCCGTAGAGGCTGAGAGACAAAAGGAATCAGTGGTTGAGGCCTCTTGGTGACATGGTTGAAAATCGGTAACAGTGACGCAGATATATTCACTCCTTGAATATTCGCACCTACCTTTATCTTCAAACTGTTTATTCTCCCACACAACTTTTTCTACTTTGACATCAATCCTTTTCTATGCACCTGTTCTTTTGTACTACCGTGAAGCATAGCAATTTGAGCCGATGCACTTGTATGCAAGGTTCTACGTTGATTTTGTCAATCAGTCTTCTCGATGTTTCTCTTAGAACACTTTAAATATACAAAGGCCTAGAAGAAACCTACATCAATATACTAACAGAATACATGATTGAAATTTACGCATCACAGCTGGACATAAGTGCATACGTTTAGAGCGGTAGTAATGCGTTTCTTCATTCCTGCCTTAGTAAGAAAAATGTTAAATGATGTTGGACAAGTCGGAAAAACAAGCATTTATGTACTAATCCACCTGATAACTTGTTTATAAAAATGTGAAGTTCCCTATAGTTACTGTTAGTTCAGTCTTCTTATTTTGACAGAGGAACATAGTTCGATAAAATATGGTGATACTTCCTGAAACATTTCGTTTACAAACTATCAGTCTCAAAAGCAATTCGTGGCTCCACTATTAGGATATTGCTACCTGACGATTAGTTGTTTTATACACGTAGATCTCACAAAAGCAAATGGTATCATTGGACACAGAGTTTAGTAATTTCTTAAGGGAAGTGTTTCATTTTCGGTTAATAATTTGTTGTGTTAAATCAAATAAGTACACAAACAAGTATACTTCACTGACATACAATACGAGAACTTTTATCGAAGTTAATTACTCACGACGAAACTCAATCAGGTAAACCTGTCGGTGTATTAGACTGTCATCATTCCTGTGTCTAGACCTTGGGCGATACAACCTGGTTTTCCAGGGGAAGGTAAATAGTACTCAGTTAATAGTCAAATGTTTACGCCCATGAACCATATCTCCACGATATTAACTATGCTCATATGATGTGGCGAAAATCACTACTTTTGTGTACATGGTAGTGTTAACATAAACCACGATGAAGAAATTCGACATACGTTTCATAAGAGAACCAAAAAGAAAGTTAAAACTTACACAACCTTCTCCTATAAAGTCGCTTATCTTTTCAGCTAGATCAATACGACCGGACTCCACTGCATAATCTAAACGCCATTCTAAACTGCCTTTACGCAAACTGTCAGCATGAATACGACTTGGATCTCTGACAGGGATTGGCTTCAAAGCAACCGGAGCAGGAGTTTGCTGCGCAAAGGAAAAAAAGTTTGAAAAAAACATTTGGATTATAGAAAGGTAATTGGTCCGATCAGTAGAATATTCAAGAATTAGGAGAACATAGTTTTTTCAGAGAGGAAATGTCTCACCTCAATGACTACATCCTCAAGTTTTATAGTCATATTATGTTTGCCTTTTTTTACTTGGAACACAAATATTATGCACAACATGGGCATCAAGAGGTGCTTCATACAAAGAAACAGAGTAACAATAGGAAGCCACGAAAAAAGTCAGAAAGAATGGGAGCAGAAACAAAAATGAGTTATTAAGGGGGCAGCATAAAAGACATATCTAAAAAAAGCATTCACTAATTTTAATTAACTTTTCGATAAAAAGGAAGAAACAAGAAAGCTGCGGCATGATCACTGGAGACATGTATACTCTTGTCTCAAGCCACTGAGTTGCATGAACTCTCAGACCCCATTAAGAGTCGTGAGGCACCTACATATGCTAACCCAGCACAATTGTCATTCGTCCTACGGTGCCATGACATGCCGTGGACACCTTTCCGCTTTTTCTAACCAGTCCAAGGGCAACTGAGCATAAAAAGTATGGGAGCAGGTAGGACAACATTTACATAATATGTCCAAGACACTGAAGCTGATGCTTCAAGATGACTTCACTCAATGACTGACCACTTTCATCACATCTAAACGTAAGCCGCCTCATCTCAGAATTAATTACATGGTGTTTCCACTGGATGCCATCAATCTTTTGCAAGGCGGTAACCGAACGTCATCAGCTCGGAGAGGCTATGTTCATACCGACACGTTGCATACCCAAACTTCCACAGCAAGGTTAACATCACGACGGCCTTAGAGTTGACCAAGATTGGCATAAACCGGTTTGGCCTTCGGTAGACGATTAGAAATCTCATCACTCATACTTCCACCTGCAACCCAATAACTTTCCAGGTATATGAACCATTCGACTTCCAATCTTTTTCCCCTAAGGATGAGCGCATATACAGGTCCCTACCAATCTTGCTGAAGCACTTGCACCTTGAGAGTACTGAGCACATAATTACGGACACTGATCGCTGAGTCCACTTGGAGTAGCCTGTATTACGTCACAGTAAAAATATATCGTCCACACACTCAAGGTTAGAAACTCACCTGTTAACAGGTTTACACTACCACCACGCACCTTTAGCACCGTTTCGAGAATTTTATCGATGGCAACGATAAAGAGGAATGGTGGAACTCGACAGCTCTATCTAACCTCATTGTTGGTTTGGAACAAAGGAACAAAACCCTACCTGAAGTATCAAGGGGTAGAGCTTTCAAAATGTTAGCTAATTTCACAGAGATGCTCCCTCTTAGACAATTTCAGAGTACAGCCCTGTCAAGTAAGCAGAAGAGGAATTCAACGATCGTTGGCCTGCAATACGTATGAAAGTATTCGAACAACTGTGGGAGAGTGAACACGCGATCAGCATATCTGCAACTCAAAAAAATCGGGACCACACTTTGCAGACTAGTTTCTCAAGCGTTTTGGGCTGCCTGAGAAGTGTGATGGCAGCCAATATATTAGACGTTACTGCAAGTAGACTGATATCTCGATTATCATACACATTATGTAGACTCTTTCAACAGATGGATACAACAATGGCTTCATTCCCGTGTGGTGGAACACTCAATTTTTTTTACCCTATCAAACAATGTAGCTATTCTCCTTATTAAAGTCTCACTCTTATAATTAAAAAGAGCTGGATTAGGTTGTTTGGGTTGGACGTTAGATAGTGCTTTAGAACTCAAAGTCCCTTACAGATCTTCGCCTTAGTTGAAATGCTCTCAGGAACCTTGTGCACATATTCGTGGAGTAGACAACGAGCCAAACCTATTGTGTGAGGGATAGTGGCGCTACCTGGATACCCAAACCTAAGTAGGTAGGGCGGTGTTTGAAACCATGACCCACTGATTGACAGTCAACTGCCTAAATCAATGATTCGGTGTTAACCAACAATGAAGCAAACAACACTGAATTCACCGTTAATGAAGTAGTAGATCAGATAAACTACTTTTAAAAGTGCTCCGCATAACGCTCCAGGCGTACGAAAAGGCTGTGGATCGGCGTAGCATGTGCTTCGCTGACACCACACTTCTTGTTGCCGATGGGTCGTATGAGTTGCTGCAACAACTTCTCAGCATTACCAGATGCAGCGAGTGCTGGCAACTCACCCGTGTGTTCTGATCACCATCCCTCACGGTCCTTACGCAGGTGCTTTCCGGTCTGCCATATAAAGAACTTACGCACACTACTATACATTGGCATCTAGCGGAGTGGACCAACGAGAGTGAAGAAGTTGAAAGGAACTTTCTGAGACGATGTTTTTCGAAGATGTAAGCAGCTTTGCTCGCCATTTTGATCACAGCTCGTATGTATAGCAATTCTCTTCTACGTTTTCTGGAGGTTCGACAGGTAGCCTTCAATCTAGCTGCTATGTTCGGAGCAACTAATTTGATGTTGACCCGTCTAGAATGACAGCTTTCTGACCAACAAAACACAGGATTAACTTATCATACACTGAAGCATGGTCAGAGTCTAGATAAGTGCTCCAAGAGTGACAGTCCTAAATACAAACACTGTCGGCAGATGATGGTAATGATTTATTTCAGTTCAGGTTTGAGTGACAAAGGGAGGACACTTAATGGCACAATAGTGGTGGCTGTGCCAGAAGTTGGCATTGGCTAGAAATATAGTGATCTACACGAAGCTGTGGAGGGTGATCTTCACGTGGCCTGCAACCGAATAGATCCCACTGACCACCGAAGCAACTCTTTTTCAAGTAGAGACACCTGACCTATGCATTCAAGATCCCAGCTAGCAATATATCTATCTAGTGCACCTGGTAGAAGTCACTCATTTGATGAAAAAATTCTTCCTTATTCGGGCTGCACTCAGTCAGAATAGGTAGAGATTACGAAAAGATATCGTTTCCTTTCTCACTCTAATCGAATGATCCAGACTAACAGCACACGTAAGAATGTAAATGGGGAATTCAGTCGACCAGTGTAGCTTCGGATCTCATGCTTTATTGCGGCGAAAACACCAGCAAGGCCGACTAATGAAGTCACAGGTTCCCCAAATAAACGCACGTTACATATATTTTTTGAGTTGACAGATAAGGAGGTTATTCGAAGCACTTTTCTGGGATGTATTCAGGTCTCTAAGGCAAAGCATACATAAACTGTGACCCTTTCCAGAATTCTGGCCAAACCTGTTTGTTGCTCTATCTAAATCAAGGTTCGAACATTGGGAGCCAACTTAAAGGGGAAGGGGAACTTCAGAATACTTGTATTAGATATAGTACTGGAGGACAGCTTTGTGAGTGCAATTGTTTGATGGACGCAGACAAACCAGAATATTAGTTGATGATGAGCAGCTGAGTGAAACAAAAATGCACGAACATATTTTTGAAAACCACATAACAAAGAGACAGCATGAACCAGAGGTAATGGTAAGGACGATATGAAGATAATAAATTGAATAGTGAGTAGAAACATCATCACAGGAAGATTTCGTAGGCGCTAATGTGTACTTTAGTATTAACGCTGATTCATAATTTGTATGAGTTGTGATACTGTCCGGACATGCAGACAGCAGCAGATGGTTGTCTTAGGCGGTCACATTCAAGTCTTTGACTAGAAATGTGTTCTAACATGCGATGGAGCAACGTGAGGCATTGCAGCCCCATGGTTAACCGAAGCCAGAGTAGGCTCATACGCCATTCAACCAGTAAGGATTATGGGAAACCATGAATATCACTAGTTTAGAATCAGTTTTCCAACTGTCCTAGGTGTACCCCCACTATGTATATCGATCCAGTGACAATTTCTTATGCTCCCTTCATGAATTCATATTTATAATTGATAAAAAGATAGTTCGGATAAAAATATTAGTTCAGTCAGTTTACATATAATAGAAGAGTTGTTGATTAAAAAGGAAGAATTGATCTCAAAAAGTGAAACAAACGCTCATTACTCCCAAGAAATCATGACATTTCTGATAGTCATGGTAAAATTGACAAAGTGAAGCGTGGCCCAACTGATCAAAGTGTGTATTAATAAGGTAACGGTAACGGAAGGCGGTTTCGTAAGATGTTTTTGAACATGTGTTGCCAGTGCTTCAGCCAGGCATTCATAGAGAGAACATAAACCCTTGAAGTAATTTAACCTTGCCATGTATATTCCTTTAAAAATAGTATCACCAGAAGCAAAGTGATCGAACTTTATGACATGTTTGGATATAAATGACACCATTTTTACTGACTTTTACTGAACCAAACTGCAGTATTCGACAGTGCACAATGTAGTTAGTTCGAGAGGAACATGTGAAATGATAGATACACATCGATGTGGACATAAATATAACATTTAACTCTCAATGAATTGCTTAAATGAGTTGATATTAGAACACAATTTTAATGTACAGTACAGTTTTCTAGGCTGTATGCAGCTAACTAATATCTGGAATAAAATGATATCATCTCATTTCGCAGATTTCTTGCCTCATAATTTTCTTCCAAACTTGTCGAGGGATCCAAGTGTACGGAAGAAAAGTATTCTAACCCAAGAATTCACAACTGACAGTTAAATGCTCATGTTTGAAACCCCATCTATACCACTGACCTTAATATGCCATAGCGAGGGAGAGAAGGTTTTACAGTATTTATTTGACTTGGATTTCTAACTGCAAGCTAAGTTCAATTTAAAATATTATTTAAAACGAAGCAACAGTAGAGAAGATTACGTACGTCAATGAAAAAATGCTTAACATCATTACTGGTATGTTTTACTGAAGAAAAAGAGTTCAGTAGAAATACTTCTTTCGACAATTCCACTTTCTATATTTTTGTCGAACTTCTTGCCTTCCCTAATATGCTAACAGGCATTAATTAACCTTATATTGACATACTGGGGTTGAGACATGACTATATAAAATAAAAAGAAGTGTACCGTTTTATCTACTGGGTTCGTTGACTTCATTAATTTTCTTTCCTTCCACGGTCGTAGAGCAATATCTTGTTTGTTTACCTCAGATTCCATTTCACGTAGGTTTGTGGCAGTTTCCGATGATTTCGGTACAATTTCTAACACTGGACAATCACATCTATCATTGTAATATGAGAAATACAAACCATTATTAATAATTTTCCTTTTAAGTTCGATTTCACGAATTTTTGTTGAACGCGAACACATAAGACGTTTGCGTTCTTGGAGGGTCTGTAATTTCTAAACATAATATTTCATTAGATACAACACAGCAAAACAAAATACCTTCACTAGTTCTTCCCGCATAACTTATCACGGGATCTTATAGTTGTGAGTTTACTGATAGTTTCACAATAATTTTTATCCAAATGAACAACTACTGTGCAAACATACTGAAATAGAAGAGAAGGTACTGCACATATAAATAAATAATTTTGCAGGAATCATACATTTATGTACCCTACATTTACTTAGTTAATCTTTTCAATTCCTGCTCTGCATTATTGAAAACCACGTATTATATTTAAGCTAAATACATAGGTTTGTGAAACTAGAAGCATTCTAGCAACAAGAAATGAACCATAAGCTAATAAGGAAAGGTGAAGTGAATGAAAAGTTATTACGTTAGTTTGGAAATCGTTCAGTTATACTATGAAGTAACTACGCTGAGAATTCCAAATTGTACCACAAATTGTCTGGAATAAAGTGAATTATTATTATTAACTACTTGTTTTGCACTGCATATGTGAATATTTGACGAAGTATGATCCATATCATATAAGGTGAAAGTGATAACTTAAGAAACACTTAATGCTGGTGAACCTCATGCGCAATCACCTGTCGAATACGCATTCAACTACAAGTCCAAGACCACCTATCTATTTGGCAGTCACGGAGGTTTAAATAACTGAACATAGAATTTCCTGTATTTTGAAAGCTCCCAGGATAGGCAACCAGAACATTGAACAAATACCTTAGAAACAGTTTGAATGACCTGAAACCACACTTCGGCTGCCTGAAATACGACTCCAACCTGAATGAGACGTACATATTTCTCCCCTAAATCTTCTCAGAGACAAGAAGGCTGTTTCGAAAAGCCTTGAAACATACAAAACATGAGGACATGACAGTTCACCACCAGATGTTATTAAGGGAGGAGATAGAAAATTACTAAATACATTCACGTACGTAATAAGTAGCGTATGAGAGTTAGAAGTAGTCTTATTGGACTGGTCTAGTCTGCTGATCATTCCACTTTAAAAACACGGCAAGGAGGTTTTCGTGCAAGAAATAGTGATGAAACACTTTAACTAACATAGCGTTCAGGCCACTAGGGCGGGTGGATATGTAGTGCAAATTCTTGGCACTAAAGAATACTAGTTTTAACACAAACCAGTAAACATAAAATATGTATATAAAGATATGAAAGGCCTGACAGCAGCTCCAAGACGACAAGCTTGATGTAACCAGGCAGGTTAAAGACCTACACGACGGTACAACGACCAGGTCTTCAAACTGAGATACGTTTCACAATACAAGATTACGAGCAGGTAAACAATTGTATTTATGACCTGAAGGCAGTAACCGAGTAAGATATTTCTACCCAGAAAGGTTAATAATTTTTCTTCTAAATACCTGCAAACTCTTCACCGAACAAAACATTGATATGTCAAATGTTTCACTAATCAATTGGGTCTTCCTATTCGTCCTTAGTTATTAGAATGTACTGGTCATTTAATGCACTGAGTAAGTTGGCACAAAAGCGAATCGAGGTACGTAAGACTAGCAACACCTTAGACTGTTACAATACAGTCAGCATCCTAAAAAGTATTTTTGAGTGACCGTGATGTATATACAATGGCTGTTTGCACGTACGGCTTTGAAACGGGAGGGCTGCTGGTTGTAAAGAAGAACGTGGCAACACTAGTTCAGAACCGCGGCTCACGTAAGCCTGGTGTTTGAGGTTAGCTGTGTCAAATATTATCAGAATTTGTAAATGTCCCCACGAAAGGTGATGTTTATTGTATCACTGAGCTAGCTGGAATCACTGACAGACTAGAGTATACAATTATCCGCTTTGTTCAGAAAACAAGGTTTGGGCATTTAGTAGCAAACTGTCTTCTAGTTATTTTGACCCATTTGATAGTCAAGCTACTTAAAAAACCATTCTCAGTGCTACTTAAATCACGTAAAACGAAGCTAATTGCTGACCAGGAAAAAGCATGACTGTAGAATTGGGCACTCGTGCTTAAAAATTTTCTGTATCAGAAGAGAAGAGTGGGTTACACCCATCAATGAAAACGTGCTACTTCGCATAAGTCCCATGAATCAAATACGTCATTGAACGAAGTTCATCAATAAGGACATGAAGTGAATACGAAAAGTTTTGAGATCGGTAGAAACGTGAAAGACTGCACTAAGTACTTTTTGAGTGACAGAAGGCAGAGAGACATGGTTGAGAAGGTAATATTTTCGGCGAAAACAATGAAGAGTGGTATTTCTCAAGGCACACCTTTTAGACTATATTGTTTAAGTAGTAGCCCGACCGAACGTGACGGCAATGCCTATCTTCAGGAAAACTGGCGCGATATTAAGTCTGCTGTATAGACATGGGTAGGGACGATTTGTAACCTGCACCCGAAGGTTAACAAACGTCACTGGATTTCCATAATCTCATCTGAAATGATTGGTGTGAGAAGACTGGTTCCAGCCGGCTGTCTCTGACCACGGGGAAGAACGAGTGCAACTTAAGCGTAAATTAACCAACAGTCTTTGCAATGAGTACCAGTAGTGGTTCGTGATGAAATCGAGGGAGCTGGAGACGGCATCAGCAGTGGGTAACACCCAACAACTATTCAGGCCTATTAAGGATATCAAACCACCACCGAAAAGAATACAACGCTGATAACCTCACACGATGGGTGGCTACAACGCTGGGCAGAACACTTCGAAGCACAGTTCAACTGGCCCTCAGCAACGCTTCAGTTGCTGCAGCGTCCAACCTGGACCTGAGTGGGACGTAGATGTCGGTCTTTCAACTTTCCTTGAAGGTGAGAAAGCTGTATCGAATCCAAAACGATGCAAAGTAGGAGAACCGGACAGCTTACCACCCAATGATTTCAAAGACGGAGGTGGGAAATTGCTCATTAAAGTGATGGAAGTATAAGGTAGTGTATGGGAATCAGGACGGGTCCGCGCCGACTCCCAGCTTGATAAAGTGGTGGATTGTGTCGACCACTTCATTTACTTTAGTAGTGGATCAGCCCCAGCAGACTGGTTACTGACGAAATCCCAGCTCGGATACAGAAGGCCCGTTTGATGTTTGCCAACCTGCGTCATCTGTGGCACCAACTGGCGCGATAGCCAACTATCTATCGAAGGACGAGTATACTGGGCTGCAATCCGTCCTGTCCTGTTATGCCGTCGTGAAACATGGGCGTTAAAAGTAGGAGACGTGAAGCGGTTGTAGGGATTTTATCATAGGTATCTTTGTAGCGTCGCTCACGTTTGATGCAATCGCCGTGTGAGGAATGTTGAGGTCAGGCGAAGGGTACTAGGCAAGACAGACAAGTTGATCGGTGAGGTTGTGAACCTTCATTGGCTTAGATGGCTTGAACATGTGCGGCGTATATCAAGCCACCACATACCTCAGTATGCCATGCTGGGAGGAGCTGGATCAAGTTAGAAGACGGTTCAGGATGGCCAGACCAAGACCTGGTACCAGCCAATGAAGTCTCCTGCTGTTGGTCTGAGTCATGTGGGGGGACGTAGACTATCTTGGTTGGGATCCATGCGGCGATGAGAATTAGTGGCTGGGGGCTTATAGTGACATGGCCGAAATCTGTCACAATGACTTAGATGTATTCACTCCTTCATATTTTCCAAAGCTTGAATATTTGCACTAACCTTTATTCTTGGATCGTTTATTATTCCACACAACTTTTTCCGCTCTGACATCAATCGTATTCTGTCTGTTCATTGTATACTACTGTGCAGTGTGGCAACTTGAGCCGATGTACCTGCGTGCAACGTTCTATATTGATTTTTCCAGTCAGCCACAAGTTGTGAAGGCGATGTGAAGAAACTGAAAAGCGAACCGCTAGTTTGTTGTACTTGTTTGAGACCGATGAGTGCGAGGCAAAGATAGACGGAATCAACATAGCACCTGGCACCACTGCACCAACGCTCCAAGTTGTTGCCGAACCTTACTCAAGGACATCAAGCGAGGATGCACTAGTGTGAAAGATCAAGACATAAAGAAGCGGCCGAAAGTGACAGAAATTCATTGAAAAAAGTGCATGGAAGAATAAAAAAAAAGGTGAAATTCGGTTTGATGATAAGGACAAAGAACTTAATCCCAACAAACACAAAGGATGACCATTAAAACATTGTCCTTGTTTCAGGCTGATGAATAAGAGGAAAAAGACTAGATGTCAGCAACCGACCGCGCATTTAACATTTCGTGCCAACAAACCAAAATGTATGGACTGATCACCTAGAGTATTTTGAATGTCAGCATCAGTATTAGGTATTACTAAACTGTTAATTTCGCATATTGGCATGCCGTTACAACTCAATCCTCTTTTCCTCAGGACACCAATGAGATACCTATAGAGAGCAAAACATTGATTGTTTAACAGCTAGTAAATACATACAGATGGACTTGTGATAACTCATAGTGGCAGTACTTTCCATCACATGACGATCCTATTCGCTCACTGATTCAGTGACACTAAGGGTAAGCAGTGAGGAGGAATTAGGGTTCAGAGGAGCAAAGACGCATAGTCGAGGCATATCGCTGTTGTTCTCTATCGCTATCGAATTAACCTACTTCCAACATAATACATCTCTCCATACGCTGGTTTAGTATTATCACTTTGTCGAGAGTGGGTAGGAGTAAAACAATCTAGTGACTGAGTTGAGTTGGATGAGGTCAAAAAGCTGCAGCTGAGAACCGAGGTCACGTAAGCCGACCAGCTACAAATCAGTTATCGGGGCGCCTTCTAGATGAAACCAATAAACCAGTGAGTGCATAGACAATGTAAAGCATAGGAAATTGACCACCTATGGGTTCAGTGAGTTGCGTGACTGCCGGTTGTCTCCACCTATCGTAGGCTATCACTGGAAATGAAGATGTCTAAAGTGAATATAAATGAATCTCTGAGGTTCTTCGTGTTCCAGTGACCGTCGCAGAAGGACTGAGTTTCTTGACAAACAATCATCAAATCAAACAAGAAAAACTGGGTTCAACACAGGAAACAGTTATAATATTGATGAAACTTGACATCAGTTTGAAAATCAGACACACCCTTAGCGATGAAAAGCAAAACGATTAGAATGGTTCCAAAACTTTTGACACTTGTAACCGAAAGCTAGTGCCACAAGATGACAGCAAAAGTAATGGCAGGTGGTTGTCTCGCTAACCGGCAATTTATGTTTGTAAAATGTTTCAGGAACCTAGCGGTTTGACTTGAACTTGTTTTTACTGGTACCAGGTAGGCTAGCGTGTCCACCTTGTTGGGTGGATCGCTAGCATGTTTGGATATCGGAGGGTTTTCCACCAGCTGACTATTAAAGACGAATACAACGTCGCTAATTATGAGGTACATTCACAATAAGCTGGTTTTAAACATTTGACAATAACGGCATCTTCACGCCCATTTCCGTTGAAACGTGAGATTTTCCCGACACAATTTGCCTCCAGTGGTTGACTAACAGCATCATGTGTCGAAACTTGCGACGTTTTCTACAAAACAAAGTCAACGGAAATCTCAGTCGATTACGCTAGAAGGGGAGCAAGCCTAACTGAACGCATTGCGATTTTGAGCCTGTTGACGGACGATTTACAATCGAAATCGAGACAGTTCCAACTGATAGCCAAAAGTGGATCCTTAAACGAGTTTTCCTGAGATGTACTCTGCTTCAGCTTTCAGTTCGCTCTAGATATTTATTAAGAGTAAAGCTACTTCAAGGTCCTCTTAACTGTGTTTTTGGCTGAAAATGCGGCCTTCAGCTGCTAGTGGTACGCCTCCGCCATAAAATATGCTTGAGAATGGTGGTCTGCCGTTTGGGACTAAGGAAAGCCTAAGGGTCTGATGAAGGCCTTAAAATATTCTACACTCAAGTTGCTGACGATAGCCTGATGTCATGAAAGATATACAAATCTTGCCAACCATAGCTCGATTAAAGTTCAATCGGTATTATCAGAAGTAATATCCCCAGTATGTCAACCAAGTATTTGTCACGTGAAACCATCCACACAAGTGAGAGATATACGTGTGCAATAAAGTCAGATAGGGTCTTGCAATATCTACATGGACATGGTCAAGAGAGCACTTGTAGATCCAAAGAGGCTTCTCGTGCTGAACAGTTTTATACTTTTGACGGGTTATCCTTAATGGTAACCAAATCCCAATGTTCTTATCCATTCTAGGTTAACGAAAACGTTGTGCACTCAGCCTCCTGTTGACTCGTGCATCCTGATAAAAGAGCTAGCGCAGCGCACTCAACATGCCGCATACACATTCTTCAGGCGGAGTATACATTAATTTTGAGTAAGACAAATGGAGGCAAGAAAGACGGACATAAGTGATGAGTTATTGGATTATTTACTCTTCGCCAATAAATCCACCCAAGGGGCTATTATTTGTAGAAGTCCGACGATGGTTTTCAACCCTTTCATAATGGATGACGGTATCCGCACAGGAGGGCACCTGTTGCCGTCTGGCCTGCCATTTGAGTAAGTATTCAATTATTTTACCCAGTAAACACTTCCTTACTGAAGTGATTGTGATGTATGGTCATTGCTGAGACTCAGATACTGGTAGCCTGCATATTGTAAAGTCTTCGGGAAGAGTTCCAAAATTCTTAAAAGTTATCCTGTGATTAGGATTTTGAAACGACGCTACCTATACAAGAGATGCAGTGCTACGCCATGTATTCAGACTACAGCTTCACCATCAGAGTACCGGTTAGAGCTCATTGTCAGCAGGGAGGTTCGTACCGAAATGGTCTACACCATGCACACTGATTCATTGATGATTTAGTTTCTCAGATTTGCTCCTAGACGGGAATGTCCAAATCAAATACTTGGCGATAATGCCTTCAACTTCAAGCGAGCTGGCGGCAGCCTGAGAAAGGGGAATCAAGACGGGGAAGTGGAAGCTCTTCTCGAAACAGGATGAGCTTTGCTCATCGACCCATCCGGAGTGACCCACTGTGGTGGTGTCCGAAAAGGTACTATCAAGTCCATTAGAGGAATCTTACGGATACTCTTACTTCCTGGAGTAAAAGTTAGAGGATTGGACGAGAATGAAGGAAGTACCCACAACTGACAAATGGCTAATTCTACGAAGGGTGAGGAAGATGTGGAGGTACTCATTGAAGACTAGTTGTCGCCGTTTCATGACCAGCTTACATTTTAGGGAAGATAGTTCAAGAGCTTTTTACCATGATGATTGTTATGACGGGTTGAAGAAACGAGAACAGGAAGCTCAAACATTGTCGACCGTATTACTCTATTTATTTTCAATGACACTACTGGTGGTTTACTTCATGGTATTACTGTATAGCTAAGTTCAGTAGCTTTTCATCAACTTTTCACCTACCTCTGTATGATTTATGCTAGCGTAGCAGTTGCATGTTTAGTGAAGTCAATCACTGTGAATTACCCCAATTCCTTCGAATAGACTTTGTTACTTTCCTTTCAAAAGCCATGCTGCACTGTGATGGTAGAACTGGGTTACATATGTGTGGTCGAGACTGCACAGAATAAAAAGATCGAGGGGCGTCGGGCCTCGTCTTGAGTTCAGTTTAGCGGGTAATTCATAGCTGTGGGATAGTACAGACGAGCTCGGTAATGGCAAAAAGCACACTTTTCTGCTGTTTTTATGTACATGTGTATTTCACAGAGTTTACAACCCCCGCGTTTCTTCGTGAAAATGCTGACTGAGCTACTGCACCGCTTGACGGGGTTGACACTACGAATAATCTGACTTCTTGGGATTCTCTTCAGTTTATAAAACACTGGTTTTACGTTCTCTAGATTTATCATCTAATGAAAACAACAAAACTCTATACCAGCCAAATAATTATGATTATTGCTACTTAAAGTCGAATATTTTTAGAAGACAAACTATCCGAATATTTACCAAGGGTGAGTGAACTTTTTAGGACTTTTTGAAAAAACAAAAGTTTACTACCGGATTTACGATAGTCTCGAATACGACCTTGAAATCGTAAAATTTACCCGTATAAATTTGAGTGCCAGTCGACGGACGTAATTTCCTATTTCGCGCAAGTGAGATATAGCGTTAATTGTCGTTTTCTGATTGGTCAGTGAGATATAGGCCTTATTGAAAAAAAAGCGGTATTTTCTAATTCTGGAAACATCGAGGCTTCGTTCTTGCGCTGAACAGACGCGTTTTTCTAACAATCGGCATTTGTAAAGCAACATTCAAATGTCCTCCAGATTGAATGTAGGATCAGTGAATTTGGTAGCTGAATCCAGACAACTTGTGATGAACGGAAACTTACAAACAGCACCACAGTGTGAAGCTGTAGCGTCACACACTTTCCCAAAATCAATAGCCTAGGGTTTGACGACTTTCGACATTGGTGCTGACCTTGATAGTTTAACTGGACTCGCTAAGCTGAAGGCACCCGGTCAAGCATCCTCGCCATTTGGCACGCTGTCGTGTTACGTTGCACTGCTCGTATTCGACTCTCTAGCCAGTTAGTTGGAACACATCGGTATTTTGGCATAACCATCCAAATATACTATTCCATCCGACTACGCTATCGTGTTCTTCCTTGGTCTCGTATTCGTGGGTATATAACAAGTTCGAATAATTAGTGATTGGTCTTTGCCTCTGTCAGGTTTGCACCAAGACAAATCCTAAATTGGTGGGCCCAACGTGATCACATATCCCGACCAATAACAAATATTGAATTGGTGAGCGTGTTCCATTTTTTATCTGTTTATTGTTTTCATTTCGATAACATTTATATATCCATTTACTACACTTTGTCATGTCCGACCACACTCCCAAGCTTATTCGTATTAAGCCGACCACGAACGCAATCCAACCAGCAAACATGTTTAATCCTGAAGTGAGTGATCCTCATGCACTTCTTAAGGCCGCACTGTTGAAGAAAAGCGATCTGACAGATCACCAGCGCCCAGACGAATTACTTCGTAACATCGAGCTAGACAGCCACTCAGCTACTGAAGTCCTCGTACGCATGCGAGAAGTAATCGGTGCACGAACATTCGACGATGGCCTCTTCCGAGAACTATTTCTCTCAAAACTACCACAACTGGTGCAAACCGTGTTGGTGACACTGCAGTCAGTCCCACTCAATGATCTGGCAGCCTCTGCAGATAAAATACTGGAGATTTCCAGCAGACCCGTCTCCAACGTATATTCTATCTGCGACAAACCGGAGCGCCAGGATTCAGAGATGACAAAGCTGGGCAACTCTGTTGAACAGTTGCTACGATCTCGAAGTCGTAGCTCAAGTAGAACTTCACAGAAACGCACCTTGGCGCATCACAGAAAGTCGCGTGGTAGCCCCAAAACTAAACCTAGCAGAGTGGAAAACCCTGAATGGTGCTGTTTCATAACACTTAAGGAGATGAAGCCAGAAAATGTCGGAAACCATGCCGTTTTAAGAAGGACACAAACTCGGGAAACGGTCACGCCGGCACGTGCTCACGGCAACCGTGGCCGGCGGAAACAGCCGTTTGCTCTACGTCACCGACATAAAAAAGAAAGTTCGCTACCTCGTCGACACCGACGCAGAAGTTAGCGTTCTTCAAGCAACGGCGAAGGAGCGTCATCATGACCCATCCTTCAACCTTCAAGCAGCCAACGGCAGGGCAATCGCGACATTCGGGAGACAGTATGCCTACCTCAACTTAGGTTTACGTACACCTATCCACTGGATCTTCCTCCTTGCTGACGTCTCTATGCCCATCATTGGCATAGATTTGCTAAACCATTACGATCTACTCGTAGATGCTCGCCATCGACGACTGATAGATAACAACACATAGCTATCTATTGCCGGGAGCACCTACATAGGTCCTAGTTTAGCCATCGTTAGAACCAAACAATCAGGCGACGCTTCCTACCAAGCAGTTTTGGAGAAATATCCAGAGTTGCAGCAACCGAAGCACACTCTTCCATGCATAACCAGCAATGTTATGCATCACGTGACAACCACAGGTCCACCTGTGGCATCCAAAGCGCGCCGTTCAGCCCCGGATAAGCTCCAAACGGCGAAAAATGAATTCGACCACATGCTGGAAGTGGGCATTATCAGACCGTCAACACAGTCCTTGGGCATGGCCATCGCACATGGTTCCCAAAAAGGATGGCAACGACTGGCGTCCAACCAGTGATTACTGAAGGCTTAACGTCAAAACAACTCCGAACTGCTACCCGATACATCAATACAAACCCTCGCACACTTTGCCTTTTTTTAATATCAATTTTTATTACCATGTAATAAAACTTTTTTTCAAAAAAACGGTGAAAATAAGCGTGAATTTTCATTTTTCGATATGTTTATATATAAATAATTCCCATTTTTACAAAACGTTTCCGTGGTATTAAAGACTTTTATTTATATTTCAGGTGCAACGAGCACTGGACGGAACGTCAAAAGGGAACTGATGACAGCGATCGACGTACAATTCGATTTGTTGTATTTTATTTATTTAATTGCCACGACACCTTAGAATAAGTTCAGACAACTAGGGGCCACTCCATGCAGCGAGCCCATCGGAAGACGTCTTTATGCCCATCATTGGCATAGATTTGTTAAACCATTACGATCTACTCGTAGATGCTCGCCATCGACGACTGATAGATAACAACACAAAGTTATCTATTGGCGGCGCCATTCATTCATTTACTAGACGATTTGAAAATGTAAGTTGTTTAACCAATGAAGTCATCAATAAATGCCAAAGAAAACTAACAGTCTGTTTAGGACTCGTGGTTGTCTCCTGAATAGGGACGAGAACAATCATGTAGACCCGGCATCTAAGTACCGATATCGGTACCTAGAAACCGGGTCTACAGCATATATATGCTGTTTTTCGTTGCCATGTTGATCGGTGGAGAAAGACAGAAGGTAGTAAGCAGCGAAAATCACAGTAAGTGACGTAACAGAGGGCATAACATTTGCATTACAGATCTAAGTTTTTGGGTTGCCCATTCACCTTCCGAATGAAACTGAATTTTGGTCGTTATGGAGTTATAGGGCCTGTTAACACTGTATGCAACTTATCTTTATAACTGCTGACGTCTGTGGAACCACGTCTTCAAAGACTTAGTGGTAACGAGCAAATGAGGATTCTACCGCCTATCGAACGATATGCACCACCAAGTCAAATTGTTGATATGGTTGGCATCGAGTTCTGTAAGCTGACTGAAGAAACTTCCGGGAACTGGTATACCCTGGCAATGTGCTATATTTGTTTCGCATGTGTTTGGGAATTCGTGACATAGATTCACCGATTTCAGAAATCCGAGAGACAGGATTAGTGTGGTGCTTATTGGACAGAGGTAGCAGAGTCAAGATGCTTGGTTTCGCTACTCCGGAAATGATAACAAAATACAAGAAGTTTCTGGAAGTTGTCGGTATGAATTTGACATACAACACCCCTAGGGAAGGGTATTTAGCTAAGGTCAATAATTCCGTTTTCTAGCCACCCGCTTTATCAACTGAAATGCACTTACTGGCCCGGTCAACAGCAGGCGGACTGCTGCTAGACACATACACTAGATCTCATGAGGGGCGCCATGTACATGATTAACCTTCAGTAGCCTCGCAGATTGCCGAATACTTACCACCTATATGTTTATTGTTCCACTCTTTAAATAAATTTTTCGCGTATTCCTCCTTTGTATTTTATTGAAGCTGAAAGTGGGATGGGTTATGGTGATGGCGTTTGAAATGGGAAGATTTGTGTTACTGTGTCATGACCAATGGGTATAGGCATTCAACTCACAACCAGTGAGTTATACTTCACAGGCACGTCAGTCGAAGTCTAATAAGCCAAGTAGTATAGCTAACCATCACACAGAAGATGTGGTTTCTTACCTATATAACTACTTCCCTTTAGAGGTCATCGCTTCGTAAAAACTGCCTACCACACGGAAGACATTAGCGTTTGTCTTGCTTGTGCGGCATTTGTCCTTACGCGCCGTAGTATTTCTCTATGCAGTGTGATAACAATTAAAGAAGCACTTGCAAGTTTTCTAGAAATTTCCTCTCATAAAAGCAACATTATTTACGAATATACGCGAGAAAAAATACATGTTTACGCACATAAACAAATATAGGGCTAAAGTTAGGTCCAAACGTTTGCTGCTATGCATACTGATCCTCGAAATCAGGCTTCATATCCTTGCTTTGTATCAAAACCCGCGATTGCCCATTGAATTATTAAAGAAAAGGATTTATAAAAGCAATATTAATTCACTTCGAATAAAGAGTTGCACGAAAACATGCCTCCACAGGTAATATCTGAATGTCAGTGTTTTCAGCGACAAAATCCTGAAATAAATCGTCCCACCATATACAGTTTCCTAGAGTTATTATTATTACTACAGTAGGCAATTGTCTCTTTACTAGTTCTCAAGTATTACTCGCAATCATTTTGTTAGGTTACATTAACAACCAATGACAGTTCTTCAAAAAACTATCGGCATCATGGCGCAATTTCACTTGCCATCAAAATGCTGAAATCAGCAAAAACTCCCAACACGTTAACGTATTTACCTCAAGAAGAATAACTGAAAATGCGGCAAGATTAATATTTATATTACTGCTGGAGCAGAAAACAGCTGGGAGTCAAAAAGGGAAAAAAATTGCAAGGTGAAGGTAAAGTGCTTTGAAAGATGAATTTCTAATGCTTATTAGCAATTGAATGTTGGAAAGATATGGTTACCTAAAACTAAATACCTGTCTAATTAAACATACCCAATATATCCTGCTTAAATACATAACGTTTGAGTAAAATCAGAAATTACGTCCGGTACGTCTGGATAACAAGCAGTTCAGGCGACTTTTTTACCACAGCAAAGCATATCCATCGAAGAAAACAGGCTAAACGCAAAGGAAAAATTAAAAACTATTCTTTTCGACAAGTCTTTAAGAGATCCTTAATTTTAAGACATTAGCTGATCGGAAAACCACCTATGACCTTCGTCCGTCTACAGGCGGTCTATAAATTCAAGCAATTTGGTTTAAATGATCTGGTTTTCGTTTACCGTGAACACGAGTGGTAGGCCAGCTGGCCTGTGTTAGTCCCTGCAGAAGACTATCATTCGAATACAGCATCAGTTGACGATCAGCATTTGCTGCTGCAATTGCATCTAACATGAAACCTAAGCATTATCTTTTATTTACCAGTAATGTATTAAGTGAGGTTACATCATTTCCGGT